GGGAGTCTGCTTCTCCCTCTGACCCTCCTCCCTCTCATGCTCTCTGTCTCTCATTCTCTCTGTCTCAAATAAATAAATAAAATCTTTAAAAAAAACAAAAAAACAAATACCAATATCTCCTCCTGAGAGCATGATAAAAGAGCTTCTTAGCTTTTGAAGAACAAGACTAAAAATGGATGTTTTTCTGAGGATGAGAGAAGGAAGACAGAAGGTATAATGCATTATAATGATAACCTAGTTCGACATTTGTCACTCAGGCTTTGTATGTGGAGCTCAGGGCTGAAGAGCCAGTGCCTCTCCCCTTGGGAAAAACAATGATAATTACATGTAAGGATCTTCATTTCAACGACGTCTTTCATTTTAAGATCTCAGTGTACTTCAGAAGCATTAATCAGTCAGGCATTTAAAGCACTATTTAATACACGTGTTTTATGTGGGAACTAACCAAGAGAGACCATTTGTGAGATTTGTTAGAGGCCAGACTGAAAATTGAATTTAGGACTTCTAAACTCCTCTTGTTATTTTTACTTAAAATTACCTCATCTTTATGATTACGACACATTCACAACAAAGCCTCATGATCCAATCTGGCTTTAATCAACCCTAGATCAACATTTAGAAAGGCTCGATATGGAATTTGTAAGTGCCGAACTTAAGAAGGAGGTTGATAACACTTAAGCTAGGGGGACTCACAAAAAGAAGAAGCGCAGGTGAGAATAAAGTGCCAGGCTGACATGGAGGTGGCAGGTCAGAGGTTAAGGGGTTGTCTAATCTCTGTGACCTTTGACCCTATAATGGGAAAGGGCTGGATTCCTGAGCCAGGCCACATGAAGCTGATGTCTCTGTGTCTACCCACGTATCTCTCTAGACAATCTATGGATCACATTTCTGGCCATTTTTTTCCAGCTATAATGGCCACATGTCCACTTGAGAACTCAAGATTTGCAAAAGTGTCTGAAGCTTCAAAGATAAAGAGAAGCTGACCTTTCAGAGGTCTAGGAAAAAAAAGGGTATGCTGGAAGCAGGGCACTCAAGACAAAAATATGTTGGGTGTATTCTTTCTATTGCACAATTCTCCTCCAGGTCAGACATTGATAAAGTCAAGCGCACCAGAAAAAGCATATTTACCTCATATTTTCTTTCCTGTGTACAGTCACATACATTTCGTAGACTCTCCCTTGGGGAATGGCCCCAGCGGGAATCAGCAAGCTTACTCCTGAATAGCAAAAGAGAAAAGCAGTCACATAAGACCTATGAATCAAAAGGAAACTTCACAGAATGCCTTTGAAGGAAGTGAAAGGGAATGAGGAGATTTTGTGGCCATGTAGCCACAAGCCTGCTTTTTCTCTAAAGACATGTAAATAGTCATAGCTGCCCTGCCTTCCTTCCTTATTGGCCTTATTTGTTAACACAGCTCCCTCTGAACTGTTATGGAATTACTCAAAGGAATGATGTCATTTTTTTAAACTCTTGTTTTATTTAAGGAATAGACAGATGGTTCCCCTGTTGTTTTCCTTGTAAAATGAGGGGAAAACCAACAACCGCTCTTAAAATTTCAAACAGCTGTAAATGATGCATCGTTTCTAATTTAAGAAAAAAACATCCCCACAAAATTCAAAGTGAGGGAAATGCTAACCTCCAAGATATCAAAAAACATTTATTTCTGAAATATCTGGTTAGCATCAGTGTTTTTCCATAACAGAAAAATAATTGGTGAACAACTTCTTTCATCATGCATAACTCTAGAAAATGAACAAGACAACTGCTAGTTTCTAGTCATGGCAGGCCAAGCAGGTTTTTACATAGTTGCCAACTGATACCATTTTGTAGGCCTAGGGGATCAAGCTTTGTTCTAAATTAACTGGGCCTACAGCGGTGCTTCTCGATTTGAGCTTGTATCAGAATCACCTGGAGGGCTTGCTAAAACACACATCACTGGGTCCCATGCTCAGGGTTTCTGACTCCGGGGGCCCAGAGAATGCGTACTTCCCGTCGGCTGCCAGGTGACACCAATGATGTGGTCCGTGGACACACTGTAAGAAGCTGCTTGCACCACGGCGGCATCATCACGAAGAATAACTCAGGGTGGGCAGCAACCTGAAGATACTTGTCTCCATGATTTTATTCCAATGAATGGGGCTTCTTTCCAGCTCAATAAAAATTTATGGAGCACCATGGTGAGTATCATGTCTGGCAGAACCGTGAATGCCAAGAAGTGAAAGACAGTGTTCCTGTCTTCGAGTAACTTATAATTTAATTAGCGAGGACATGGAATATGCCAAATGAGCAGAGGGCAATAAGGAAACTTGCCCGACCGTGTTGGGAAGTCCCAAGAATAAAGACTGGAGAGTGAAGGAGGAACAGTTATTCAAAGGCCTTTGTGTGACTGGTTGAAAATGGGTCTTGGCCTTCTGGAGAAGAAAAGTTAACATCAGAGCTGTGGTGCTGTGGGAAGCAGAATGTTATCCTCGGGCATAGAATAGTTTGCTGAGGCACAGAGTGGACGCAGGAAGACCACTCATGAGCCTACCAACCCTTGGCATTTTTATTTTTTTCTAATGGAAACAATTACATGTACCTTTATGTTATAGGAATGAAATAAAACTATGAATGTAAAGTAATAAGAGTAAGGCCTGACACAGATTAGGTAACTTATTGTAAAATAACGTTTGTAAATCACCACTGCCTAGTACATGGAAAGTATTTACTACATGCCACCTCCCTCCTTTCCACTTAAGAAGCTTTTATAATAATTCATATATGAAAAAATGACAGGTGTAGAAATGGGAAGGAAAGGTAGAATCCAGTGAATATCATGAAAAAAAAAAAACTGCCTTGAGAGTAATATCATGTTTAAGCAATAAAAGAACAATAGAGTATATTTTGATCTATTTATTTGATAGACTTTAAAAAAATATATTTTTAGGTTCATGATTTTAAAGAGCATACAATAGCATGAGAATTAAAGAGAAAAAGGTGAAAAAAGTATATATAATGTATGATCTCAGCTATGTAAAATGTATAGATAAAAGGAAAAATGATATTCCATTAAGGATTTGAATTTATTAAAATGCACTTTTAAAGGGATGGTGTGACAAATTGGCAAGGCACTGAAATGGGGGACTGAATAAGAGAAAGAATCAAAGACAAGTTCATATTCAGATCTGCAGATCCACTTGTTCTGTATAGTACTTGGCTGTATGGCTATTTACACATTATATTATTTTCTTATGCTACATGAGGACTTTAGGTCAATCAAATTGTTTCTTATTGCTGTATTTGCAAAATACTCAGTCTTGTCCAAAAGAGCGAAGATAGATTCACAGGGGAATCCATTAACCCTCTTAGGACCAATAGACGTAAACCCCTTCCTGATTAATGAATATCAAACTTTAATCAAACATTATCAGTCACTCACTTAAATTCACCTTGTAAGACCTTTATGAGACTTATCTTCTAGAAGCAGGTAACTAAATGATAAGCTGAAAATTCAATTATACTACAAATACACACTACACATAATCAGGCTGTGATTCCAGACAGATCTATCAGAAGTGGGAGTGAGTACCTTACAAATACCTTGAGGTTGAAGACTGTGTAATAAAGAGTTAATAAATGAAGATCTGATGTCTACCATGATGTCCTCTGATCTGAAAATTAGTATTCTGAAGTATTGCTTCCTACAGTAAATTGGAAGCTACCCAACTAATATGTTTTCTAATTAATTTGTCCTTTTAAAGTGTGATGACAACAGTGAGCACTTCTGGCTTGCCGTTGCCTTCTGAAGCTCTATTACAAAGGTCAATGATAGTTCTAAATTATACCTTGGCAGAAGGTTGTGAGTATAATATTTTTAGAGGAAGCATTTTCAGAGTTGGTTGGAGAAAGATGAATGGTTTTGCTGATTTTGTCTGAAGCAATGTTGATTTACATCGAAAGTGGATTTGGGTTAGATTAGTCTACAACTAACTTTTTAGGCCTCATGAAAACAAACAAGTGAAAAAGATTTGGGTACAAAAATATGTTTTCAAGATCTATGTAATTTAAACGTCTAGGAATTACCTGAATTGGGAACAATAAGGTGACCCCCCAGAGAGTTGAAGGTGCCAAACGCCGTACAGGATGGGTCAGTCTGCCTTGCTAGACTCTGATTCTTCACATTGAGGGCCTCGTTCTCCAACAAGGATTGGGTCATCTGAGGAGACAGCTTTGATGCAAACTCAGAGAGGTCATCTTGGGGGGTGACTGCACCTGAGGTGTTGTAGACTTTGATTTTCAGGTTGGGCAGTGGATCCAGAATTGGAGAGTTAGTCATTGGGATTTTGTCTGAGACATCATGCAAAGCATAGACAGGTCCTCTGTACATGGCTGCAGCCGATGTGAGGTCTGGGGGTACCACCAGGAGATCTGAGTCAGAAAGAGAAAGGAAGTCCATTTGCATTCTCCATTCAGGCTACTTCTATTTAGTCAGGCTCCCCCCTGACACTTTCTGAGCCAAAAACAAATGAACTCAGTCACTATTAGAGATGTATAGACTCTAAGGTTCTGTTGAAAACAGGGCAATGAGATTACTGTGATCCATTTTATTACTGGCTACAAACAAAGAGACAAGTTAATTCTAAATTTTGCTTTCAAGTCTACTCATTGCCCCTAAGGTATTTATCTATTTCAACAGACTGGATTTCAAGACAGTGATCCCCACTCAGTGACTTAGGTAATAGTTTCCCTTGTCTATACTGGATTTGAGGTCATCCATCTGTACACCACTCTATTCGTATCAACGCAAGCGGTCTTGTCAAGAGGCCAAAAAAAAAAAAAAAAAAAGGAGATGTAAGAAATCAGTCAACCAATCTGTGTGGTCTTTTAAAGTGGAAGTTTTTAAAAGTATGACAGAGAAACCTGTTAAGAAAAAAAAATGATTTGTGCACCTTGCCTCCTCTGGTTGGTTATATGAATGAAGTCAACAGGATAATGAATAAAACAGACCCAAATCCATGTCTTCATGGAGCTTATGTTCGAGCCGAACAACATGACCTGAACGTCACTGATTCTGACACCACACGGGGAGGCTGCTGACGTGCCTAAACTGCAGGTGTGAAGTGCAATGTTAACTGACCTTGTCTCGCTGCCTTGATGTTCACAGGCTGAAAGCCTCCATTGAGTGCCGAGGAGTCAATGATATCAGACTCAAAGTCGCGATGGTTCTTGCGATACACAAATAGGGCCACCACTACAGAAATGGCCAGGCAAACTATCACGGCTATCACAATGCCGACATACAGAGCAACATCATCTGAGTCAGGAGCAGCTGGGGAGGACAAGGAAACATCAGACCAACTGCTTAGAGAAATTTCCCACAGTACACATCCATATTGCTGTAATTTTTTCAGACATTTATTGCCTTTTTTTATAGGTTAATTTCAAATCTATTTCAAAAGCTGTATAAAACGACTGTGGCCTTTCAGTGGAAAATTATCTCTGATTTCTTTTTCTTTCTCACTCTGCATCTATCCACTCACTAATCTATCTTAAATTGGGCAGCATAACAGACCATTTATTAGAAGGCATAAAAATAAACTGGAACTGAAACCATCCCAACCCACAGGGAAAAAAACAAAGTTCATTACCAGTTTCAGGTGAAAAAGTTTGGAAGGCTGCTTTGAATTCACTGATATTTCCCCAAAAACATAAACATAAATACTGTTAGAAATATCTGGCATGTCCTGAATCTGTGTATTTATTGAACTAGAATATTTTTCTAAGTATCATTCCAAGTCATAAAATCACTTTCCGTAACAGTCTTCTCACTTTCCCCTAAATCAAGGAAAGGGTGGCTGGGAATGGTGTACGTAACTAAGCAAAACAAATATTAGAAGCAAACATGTTGGGCTTAAAAGGTGTGCTTTCAGAAGACCCAGATCTGGGAAGCAGAGGTCAATGCCGATAACTCCAGGCTTTTGATATGGATTCGGTATTACATCTGAGAACCGTGAGCTTCTCATGGTCACTGGTCAGAGATTTACATTTGAGCTACTCGTTACTGAATCAAATATGTCTAGATGGTGCACTGAGTACCATAAAGGCCTGGTTCAGTGATCAAAAAGGTCAGACTATCCCAGAAGGCAATTAAGCATTTGACCAACACAGTGTGCAGTCAGTTGGGGGTCTGTTTCTGGGTAAAGCCAGAGGAAAATGCCTGTAAATGTTGCATATTGCCTTGGTGGTATAGAACATGCTTCGATCCAACCCCAAAAGGTGATAGAAGCTGATAAATGAAAAAAAACGAACAAGATGGAACCTTTCCAAGAACTCCACAGGCACCTTTAAGTCTGTTTTTAGTTTTGTGGGACCCACAAACATTTTCAGCAAAGTTAACCAAAGCTTTTCCAATCACTGTAAAAGAGGAGATTAGACTGGTATTTCAGGGGGTCAAGAACAGCCTTTTTCTGCTCTATTTTATATACACATGCATTTTGGGGGCAGGGAATTTTCAGATATCTAAGTTCCAGGGCCTCCTAAGAGTTGAGGAGCCGTGATTCTGTCCTAAGACACACAGCCACATAGTGGGCAAATGACTCATCATGCAGATTGCCAATGGCTCACCCAAACTCTGGGGTCTTTGACATGTTTCTTTGACACATGGACAGTATAAAGGAATTCCCTGTTGGCTACTGCTCCATCTCTTTTGGCATTTTGTGTTTAAATGCATGTATGTGAGAGGTTTTGGGTTTTTTTTGGGGGGGGGTTGTTTGTTTTTTTACTATTATCTTTCCCAAAGTTTCCAGAATATCCGCTTTCCCATCCATCATGTCGATATCAACAGATCTTTTCAGAATCCCAATGACAGCTCAAACCTTCCCGATTGGGTGAGCACTGCTTTCTGAGCCTGGACCGCACTGCGCAGCTGGGCAGTATTCGAGCCCCTGCTGCAGCCTTCTCAACTCCAGCCAGAATATTCTATCTAAATCCTTACGGTTTTACTTTACCAGGCTGTAATTACTTCCCCAACCTGAATGTTTCCTAACTCAACAGATCTGCTTTTCTCACCCCTTTACTATTTAGCATCGGAACCGGGCCTGTTATTAGATCAGCATATTTCATGATATGGTTTGTCAGCTATTGGGATTGAATGGCAGACTGATAGATTGGAAAGCTGGCGGTGGCTTAAAATGACCCTCCTTTCTTCTCTTCGGCAGTGAAAATCTAATTTGTTTTTCATGTTAGAATATATTAGGCGCCTATTTCCTGTGTGCACATCTGTGATCCAAAGAAAGGTAAACTTGAACTGGGGGCAATCACGTTAAATGATTATTCAGCAACATAAAAACCAAACATCAAACTTACAAGAAAATCCATATTCATTCTGGGTTCTCTGTTCAGTTGAAATAGGATAAAGGAAACCTTGAAAGGAACAAAAAATGAAACAAAAATGGGAACAAAATCAAATTAATGAGGGAAACAAAATAAGAAGCATGAAAAATGGTTTAATTGAAAGAAAGGGAAAAGAAACCTGTGGTCCTTTAAGATTCTGGTTCAGTACAGAATTATGATTTCGCATCTCCTGTCTGCTCTGGAGCCTCACCAAGAATTAATAAGTAGGCAGATTGAATTTCAGAGCAAAACTGGTCTCGAGTCACTAACTTTGGAGTGCTTAAAGTCTTTCTTTTATTGAGCATAAACTCTAATGGATCTAATTTATTTCAGACATCAAGGGTCATTAGCATAAGGAAAATCTTTTTTCCTTATCCCTGCCATATGCTTTAATTCCCAGGACATATTCAGCAAGGCTCTAAGCAGTTTTTTTCTTTTTTATTTAATCATAACAGCTTGCTCTTGGTCTAAAAGAACTAAAGGAGACCTGTCATCATTGGTCAAAGGTTAAATACCCATTTACTGAGCTGAGCGGAGACCACCCTTCTTCCCTCCATCTCAAAATCACTTTTTGGAATTTTGGTTGTTTCTTGTCCCTCCATTTAAAAGGAATCCAATAGGTTCTGCCTAGGGACTGAGCAGTTTGTCAATGCAATGGAAACTGGATGCTTTTTATTTGAAATCATTCAAAAATCAATAGGGCCTAGAGGTTATAAGGTTATTTATTTTAGGGCTTCAGAGGAATAGTATAAATTGAGAGAAATAAAAACCTCATCTCAACAATAAATGCAGAGATAACACTAGCAGTTTTATTTTTCTTTCTTTTTAATATATGGCAAGGTAGGAAAGATGATGATGATGATGATGATGATGATGATGATAAAAATAATGTCAAGAAGAAGACTGGGAGAAAACATTTAAAAATGTGGAATACAAATTTTTGAAATGAAAAATCTATAAAAAATTTAAAAGTGTAACTTATAACTGGCATCCCGAGTTTCCTAATATTTAATATTCTGCAACATACAAATGGATCAAATGATACAGTACCACTGGATTAATCAAATCAAAATGAGTAAGAATCATATGAATTAAACTTTCCTGGTAATACTCAAGGACAAAAAAAAATGTAGAGAATCTGCAAGAATCACAATTAATTGGTTCAAAATTAAAGGTCTGTCATGCTCTAATACTAAAGGTAACTCTAAATCGTGCCTCAGGTAGATCCTCTGTAGTTTGCAGAACACTCAGTTCTTACAAGCTATTTACCTATTTTGGGGAACTAATTCTGCGGAAACATGCAGTGTTACCTTAATGAAAGAGAGGTTTGCTGTAGCACAGACAAGTTTGCTCTGAATTAATTTTTAATGCTTTATTTTAGAGCAATGATTGCAGCCTCCTACTCAGTTTTATAAATATTATATTCCTTATTCCAGTTGTCTGAGTCCATGTATTAGGTTTGATTTTCATTTTTAAACACTTCTGTCTGGTAATAACCTTTTTCCATTTGTATTCTGTGAACTCAATAAAAGGACATCTGGGACATATACAGGCACTGGAAGAAAGGTGATTTATTTTCAAACCCGAAGACCTCAGACCATACGAGTTCACTGCCAGCAGAAGAGATAAGGTGACTGGTGTCCCCACTCTGGTAGGGAGGGTGTTAAGTAGAGGGATGTCAAAAGATTCATTTGTTGCAGGTTAGAAGGCCTGGAAGCTAGTGTAAAATAGGACATCTGGGGTTGGTCTGATGTTCACCTTGAAGATTTTGTTAAGAATCAGCATGGCCTGCTGGAGTGAGCAGGAGAATTGTATCTTACAGAGGGAGAAGGCTACCTCCAGAGAGATACAACATGGTCGGAAATTTCTCCCTGTGAAGCAGTTCTGGGCATGCCTTGGCTTTTGTCTCCATTTCCCAACAGAATCCCTGTTCTTGACAGGCAGAGCGAGGAATAATAAAAAGGAACGTTATAATTTTGATTTTAATCTCAACTTCTCCATATTTATGTAGATCTACACAACTCAATAAATATTTTGGTGACTTAGGTATTCATCTGAGACTTCTATTTCATTCTAGGCACAGACCTGGAATTCATTCACTCATTCATTCGTCTAACAAATACTTTTGAGCCCATGCCCACGTATATACACTGGGTTCTATTCTAGGCATGGGGGTGCTCGCTTCGGCAACACATATACTAATATTCTAGGCATGGAGTACCATGACAGACAAGATGGGAAAAGTCCCCGCTTATGCTTTAGTTTAACAGAAAGTAAACAAGTAAAAATAATAAATAAGAACAATTCAAATGCTGAAAAAATTTCTTTTGAAAAACAGAACAGAAGAACGTAACATGACTGGAGATAAAGGGATGAACAACTTAGGAAATCAGGGAGCAATTTTCTTTTGAAATAAGATTTGAGGGGCGCCTGGGTGGCTCAGTCGGTTAAGTGTCCGAGTCTTGATTTCAGCTCAGGTCATGATTTCAGGGTTGTGAGATGGAGCCCTGGGTGTGGAGCTCAGAGCTCAGCAGGGACTCTGCCCCTCCCCCTGCTCTCTCTCTCTCTCTCTCTCTCAAATAAATAAATAAATCTTTAGAAAAAATGGGATTTGAGCTGAAACTTGAACAATGAGAAAGGATCAGCCAAGCTGAGATCAGGAGGGAACAATGGTCCAGAGAGGGACAGTAAATGCGGGAGTCCTGACATAAAAATGGAGTGGTGGGAGGGACCGTGAGTGAGAGGAAGAGGGAGGAGGCAGGCTCAGAGGGGTGAGGAGCAGCCACACGCAGGCCTGGTGGGCCATGATGCAGCATTTTGATTTTATCCTAAAGGAGACAAAAATCCTGTGATCGAATGTAATTTTGAAAAGAGTGCTTTGGTTTTTCTCCAGATAATGGGGAGCAAAGGGAGCAAAGTGACAGGGTTTTATGGGTGGTTTCTGTGACACATGGCTTGGGAGATGTCTATCAATAGGTCTTTCAATATAGTTGATGAAGTGTTTGCATTTGAGGCCGTTCTAAAATAAAATAGAAATTTAAAAATATGAAAGCCTCACTGTTATTCCTCATAGCCGATGAGGCCCAATCTAGCCAAACTCTTATTTTCCTACATGGGGAAATTTAAAACAGACCAGAGTATTAAGTATACTCACTAATGGCTCAACTCCCCAATTTACTCTGTTATGGAAACACTGATAAAGAGTTTTGGAAGGCAACTCTATAAAACTTTTTCCATCCTTTTCAAAACACTTCTACAACTACAGAGCTAAAACATCACTTAGGAGGTTGGGAATCAGAAAAGAAGGGGATTACTGTTCCATCCCCTAAACGAGGGGAACAGAGAATCACTTTTTAGAGTTTGTTTTTACGCTTCTCCATCTGATCCATCTCTCACGGAACAACAGGGGACATTTTCCTCAGTTAATGAGGTGACCCTGCTGGGAGCAGTCCTAGCAATAATGAAAAATAACATCTCTGGCCGAACCCAGTGCAAAATAATTGTTTTTCGTGTCCCAGTCAACAGCCCGGCTCGTAAGTTAGGGATTTCAGTTAGCTTTCCTACTACTTGAAAGAAAGCCATCAAAAAAGGCACCAGGGCTCTTGGCCAAGGCGGTGAAACTGAGCTTTTCATTTTTCAGTTTGAATCCTAGCTCTGCTGCTTCCTTAACTGTGAGAGCCTGGTCAAACCGCTTTGCTTTTCTACGTCTCAGTGTTCTAATCCGTGTAAGGGAACACGAGTCTTCACTCCCACAGAACTGAGGAAAGGATAAATGAGATCTGTGAAGGGCTGGTCCATGGAAGCAATCGATAAATGACAACTCTATCAAAAGCATTATGATGCACATTGTAAGTATACGAAGACTCTAGGTTCTTAAGGGATTTTATTTGTAGAGTCAACTCGGCCCATTATTTAAAGAGTGACCTTAGAAAATTCGTTTGAATTTCAGGTTCCTTAGTTATGACAGAGACAAAGAGCCCAGTTTTTCGGAGAAACCATGAGCAATGCACTCTTTTAAATACTGTATAATCTTTCACGCTCTCCTTTGAAAGAGGTTTATGGCCTTTGTGGCTTCTGGCAGCCATAGAGTGGCATGCTTCAGAAGCAAATTTCCAGGGCCAGAGTGCAATTTGATGCTAAAACAGTTTCTCAACCAGAGATGGTGCCGCTTCTAAAGGGGCTGTTTGGAATTGGGGCAGGGGAGGTGTTTTTTTGGTTGTCCTAATGATTAGGGAGTTGTTTGTGGTACTTAGTGGGTGAGGGCCAAAGATACGGAATGTCCTGCAATTAGAACAATCTAATGGAAGAACCATTGGGAAGAAAACGCACCTCCATTGGTGACGACTTCCAAAACCATGGCTCTTGGACTGCTAGAAGGAGCAAAGGCATGGGGCTCCGGGAAAGAGTAAGACTTGTCCCCCTGGTTGTGAGGCCCTCAATAAGTGCATCTAGGGGAGGCCAGCCCCAGAGTGGGGCTTCTGCTATGGGAAATGCTCATGCCCCATGACCTCCTTTAGGAATTGTTAAAAATAAATGCAAAGTAATTTTAAAGAATGTTTATTTTTCAATGGAGAGATTGTCCTGATCTGGGAGAAAAGGGACTGGAAGAAGTCTGATTGTGCAGAGCCACTTTAAGTGAAGACCTAAATAGTCTGGAAACTGAAGCAAGAGGAGGATGTAATTAAAGAGTTAGTGAAATGCTCCTTATGCTAGAAAACACCTCACAATTGCTCAAAACAGCATTTGAAGAGGTTATCTAGTTCAATCGTTTTCAGGTGAGGAAACTGAGTCCCAAAGGTGAGAAATGATATTTTAAAGTAACCGAAAGTGTTGCGATTAAAATTTGGTTTCCATCCTCCCATCAATTAAGATGGCATTGTCCGACTCTGGGTGGCCGCATTCAGAGCTGTGTGGATTGTCCATGTGGATTGTTAGTCTAACAACGTTCCAGCTGACGGTGGTAAAGTGACTGGGGAAAGGAGTGCCTTTTTCTAATTTCACAGGGTCATCCTTGAGACTGGAGGTGGGGT